CCAGAGGCTGGCCTGGCATGCAGTGCAGGAAAGAAAGCCAGTCAATGAAAATGGAAATGGAGGTCTGCAGTGTACATGACTTGGAATAGGAGATAGTGAGACTTGGTGATACTTTGTAAGAGATTTTTTAAAAAAAAAAGTTAAAATAAGTCTGAGAAGTTATGCAATGACTATGCAAGTGATGGTCTGCAACTATACCTAGTTTGGTGTCATCAGCAAGTTTGCTAAGCATCCATTTGATCCTACTGTCCAAATCAATGAAGATGTGAAACAAGACCCCTGGAGAACCTCACCTGATACCTCCTCCCAATTAGACACTGAGCCACAAGTGAGAACCCATTGAGTACAATGATCCAGCCAGTTATATATCCACTTGGTAGTACTTTCATCTAATCCCAAGCTTGTTAATGAGAATGTCATCAGAGGTAGTGTTAAGAGCTTCACAGAAATCAAGGTATACCACATCCACTGCTTCTCCACCCCCCCTCCATCCATAGAGCCTGGTACCTAAACAAGGAAGGGAATCAGGTTGGTCAGGCATGACACTCTTGACAAATCCAGGCTGGCTGTTCTTGATCAGCATGTTCTCTTCTAGGTGCTTCACAATAGATTCCTTTAAGAATCTAGCAATGATCTTTTCAGGCACTTAGGTCAGATCTGCAATTCCTCAGACCTTCCATTTTTCTTAAAACATAGACACTATATTTGCCCATTACCAATTATCTGACATCTCAGCAGACCTCCATGAGTTCTTAAAGGGATAGCTAATGGCTCTGAAATTAGCCCAGCCAATTCCTTCAGTACTCTAGTTTGTATCCCACCTAGTCCTGCTAACTTGAAGACATCTAGCTCCGAGTAGTGTTCCCTAACCTGGTCTTTCATTACTTTAGGCTGTTTGCCTCCTTCCCTAGCTTTCCTGCCAACTGTGCTCATCATCTGGTAGCTGATTTTTTTTTTTTTTTAAAGTAATACACACACACACACACACACACACACACACACACACACACTTCAGTCGTCACAAGTAAGAGAAGCATTAAATACTTCAGCCTCCTCTACATCATCCATAACTAGATTGCCTTCTGCATTTCATAAGAGATTTTTGCTCATCCTCTTATTTGTAATACACTTGTAGAATTCCTTTAAGGAAAGACACCTTTTTATGTCCTTTGCCAGTTTCTCAAATTGTGCCTTGGCCTTCCTAGTTTTCTCCCTACATCCTCATACCAGGTTATGAGCAAGTATCACAGGATGGGGTCCTCAAGGATGGTCATGATCTCCCAAGGCCCCTTGACCATGCCAATTTGGTTGAATGGGCACCTTCAGTTCTCACCCACCACGTTTGATAGAAAACATAAATAGGGAGGTTGCCTTTAAGTCCTCTTGGACACAGTTTGATGGACTCTGAGCCCTGTGGGTTCCCAGATCCTTTTTAGGTCCCATTTCACAATAGGCATTTCAGGGGCATCTGAGGCTTATGGGCTATATGCATGGCTTCAACTGCCCTTTTACCATGCCCCAAGCCTCACAGATGGTACTGGCATTGTTGTACTTTAGCCTCATTATAGTTTGGCCCTTTGTTGATACTGGGCTCTCCACAGCCCATGCCTCCATACCCTCTCTGCTGCTAGGGTCTGTGCCCTGCAAGTTCTGCATCCTCTCTGGTGCCAGGGTCCCCACACTGCCACAGACCTTCAATGAGGCCTCGTTCTCCAAATAGCCTCACCCAAACCCCCAGTCTTATAAAATAGCAAGCAAAACATAAGCCCCTAGGCTATAACATAACACAAGCTACATAAAGTATGCTCAATCCCTCTACATTACCCAGAGCAGACCCTAGTCAGGCTGTTTCCCTTCACTTACTCCAGAAAAAGCTTCTTCTCTTTTAGCTACAAGCAGAGAACTACTTCCTAGTCCCTGTCCTGGGGTTTATATGGGCCCAGGGCCCTGCCCCTTCTGGCCAGCTGACCAGGTGCAGGTGCAGGCTAATTTCCTCATTAGCTGGTTGTCATGGCAACCTGCACCTGGGCTCCTGTTTGGCTCTTTTGGATCTTCCTAGGAAGTTTCTACTCTTTTAGGAGCAGGCACCTAAGTGCCCTGCGACACCAGGTTTTCAATTTTTTTAGGATTCCTGGTTGAGTTTCCACTCATTGATGTCTAGACAGGCTGATCTCCTGTTCCACTTCCCATTCTTCCATTACATCAGGATAGCTTGTTTCTGCACCCTTAATACAACCTCCTTAAAGGATAGCCGGTTTTCCTGGACTCCTTTTGCCCTCAGACTTGGCTCCTAAGGAATTGTGTCCACCAGTCTCCTAAGTTTGTTAAAGTCTCCTTTCTGAATTCCAGTGTCTCTATTTGGCTGCTCTCCTTTCATCCTTCCCTTAGGATCCTTAACTCTATCACTGTCACCCAGCTTACTTTTCACCTACCTTCTTGGGTCCATTCTAAGTGCTCTGGTACCCCTGTTACCTATCCCCAGTTCCACTCCTGCTGATACATAGTAGGCTACTATTGATATGTAGTACATATTTCTGAAATACTCAATATACAGTAATTCAAGGGTAAAGGATAGTAATGCTACATGGCCCTTGGAATCCTCTTGCCTGATTGTACCTGTTCAGTTTCATTATTCTATGTATTGGGTAGGTTTAGGATAAGCTTAGAGTATTAGTGGTATGTATAATTTTTACCCATGAATCTATTACAGGTCTGTTTCTCTTTTGGGGATTGCTGATAAGTTAATTTCAGGGTCATTTAGACAATGTGGCTACTTACAGCATGGACACATTTTTCTTTCATATTGTGTCAGTATAATGTATACATAAAATCCTATTAGAGAAAGAACCCCTGCCCTTATGATAAGGCTAACATGCCATTCTGATAAGTGTAATGGCTGTTGTATATGTTAACTTCAGAAGTGAGGTTTTGAGTTTATTTTTTTCTTTCTTAAATTTAAGGAAAGAGGCTAGAGTTGCTAGCAGACAAGCTATAGAAGATTATTCTTGGAAGACTACTTGAATTGATTTGACAGAAATCTGCCCAGCCCAGTGGTTATGCATAGAATGTATTAACGTTAGGGGGGAGGGGGACCAAGGGGCACATCTAAGATACCTTATAAACAAAGAATGATCCTACATGGCCTTTTGTTCTGGGAGCCTGTAGTAGGGGATCCCTACCCCTACTTCTGACAAAAGGAGAGAGCTGTATTGCAGAAGGTAGGCTGGGGAAAGGCATCTTGAAGAAAATATTGAGCTTTAGGACCAAGTAGCTAATGAGAGGATTGAGAGCCCTTGCAGCAGATTTGGGGATTAGCAGCACCTGGGCCCTGTTTTCCAGATAGCCAAATCAGGTGACTGGAGGGGGAGGAGTCAAAGGCCATATAAGCCCAAGCACAGAGCTAAGAAGGTAGTCTAGCCTAGATCTCTACAACTACAGGACCTGTAAGTAGACAATAGCAAGAGATAAGGCTTGGGTACTATGAAAGTTTGTGTGAGGGAGAGTACTGTTACAGAAGGTGCTAGGAAAACACACCTGTAGTTTGGGGACTATGTCTCAAAAGTGGATTTGGGGGCCTGATATGTTTACCCTGGGTTCTAGCTTCCTACATTGAGCCAGGTGTAGGCAAGAGGTAGAGGAGGTTGGCTGGGGTTGATGCCTAGGCACAAGCAGAGGAGGTTGGCTGGGGCCACATAGGCCAGATAAGAGTGAGACCAGGGCCTACTTACCTTAAGGTGTGAGGATCAGGAAGACTGGCAGGGTTCTCTGAAGGCAACCTCCCTAAAAGATCTATTACCTTAAACATCAATGTATGGTAGATGAGAAGGCAGGGCCAAATTTGGAGCCAGTGTAGTAGGACTGGTGTAACAGTTGTTGCTGGAGGCATGTACTCCACTACAGAGCCCAAGTGGCATGCACAAGCAGCATAGGGGGCCCCAGACTTCAATATAGGCTACCACCTGGAGCTCATACTGGGACTGTCTTGAAGACAAGTGATTCATAGAATCTGTAGAAGGTAAGATGGCATGTGGCTGTGATACCATGGCTAGTGTGGCATATGCTCTCTTCCTTGTCAACAGGCCTGGGTCATGAGGAGAGGAAGTGATAAATCCATGTTCTTGAATCCTGTTTTTCTCTGTAGAAACAGAAACAGCAGCACTATCATCTGATTGTGGCTGTACTTGTGTGAAAGTACTGCTCTTGCCTACTCTTGTGCCAGGGCATAAGGGGGGAAGAGATGCTGGTTCTGCTCTTGTGCCTCTGAACTCCACAGTAGCAATCTAGCCATTGGCAGACTGGACTTTATACCAATGGATGCAAAGTTTATAAGGACATTTCTTATTTCTCTCTCGCTGGATACTACACTGGCTCTGCAAGACACTTGCATGTTTTTGGTATACCAATCATAATATAGACAAAATAGCACCTGAGAGAGCTAAGGGTTGGATTTTCTACCATTCTAGGGGAGGGGAAAAACAGCACAAGCTTACTTCACCATTGGTACATGCTACTTTACCTTCCCTCATCCATTAATCCTCTGTCCAATAATTAAGTAAATACTGGTTTGTTTGTTAGTTTTTTTGTGTGTGGTGTTGTGGTGTGTGTTCTGTGTTCAGGGATTCTTGATTTGCCTACTCTGGGACTCATGTCATCTGAGACCTGAGTTACAATTAAAAAAAATCTTTAGACAATTTAAGATGAAGAAAAATGAATTGATATTCACTTTTAATTTCACCCAGGGAAAAAAACTACTTGCTAATCAAGTTGTTAAAGAACAAAGTACTCAGCATCCTTGGAAAATGGGGGGGGGGAACCTCATTAGAGCACCAGTTCAGGAGAATATTCTTATTCAGAAAGGTCTCCTATATGTGTGTGGCTGCACTTGTGTGGCCTGCTGTGATGAGCATGGAAACTAATGTACTCCAGCGACCTCCAGCATTACATGCATCAGTGTCTCTGGCTGAAAAATGGTGGCAAGGTGCTTTAAACTAAAGCTCACTTAAGCTTTAGTTCAAAGTGACCCAGCACCATTTTTCAGCACAGGGACACTGATGCATGTGATGCTCCAGGCACTTTCAACTAGCAGAGCTCTCTGAGCTGCACTAACTAAAGCACTAGGGCTGTATGAA